GGGGGGGGGGGGGGGGGGACACACACACACTTTTTTTTTTTTCCGCGGAACTCGAACTCAAAAGTCATTTTTCCCCATTATTCCCCTCAGTCCATTACAGCAGAGATTCGCCGGGTTTTTTTGGGTTATCCATTTACAACACGCCTGGTTTGCAGTTTGATAAGTAAATCGTTCCTACCATAAAGTACCAGATCTGAAACAGACAACGGCGGTCGTGGGTTTTCCGTAAAATCTCTGCTCAGATTCTCTTTTTCAAAACAAAGCATACAAATTAAAACAAACAAACAACCACCCCCTCCCAAATTAAAAAAACCCACCTTTGTATTGTCCTGATGTGTCCTTGTCACCCATATGTTAAGGTTCTCAAAATAATTTTACCTGGGTCTACACCACTGCCTCTTTTGTCTTCTATTTTGATTTTTTTTTTTTAGCGGACATACTTCGGCCGACAATGAGTTTTCCGCTGACTGGTAATGGTTGCAACAATGAGTATTGTTCGAGCGATGTCACAGCCTTATCTCTTTGGCTGAAAGCGTTACTTCTTCGGAATAAAAAGGGGGCAATGACCTCTGAAGATAGAAATAATTTATGAACATTAACCTCTTCACTGTTGTGTGGATGTACGTAGTCTACTAGCTTGCATTCTCTAAAACAGATTCGCTTATCGTTTTGTTTTTTTCTACAGGTGTTTCTTCTAGAATAGAGGTGTAATTACAAGTAACATACAAGAAAAAAAAAGAAGGTGATCTAAGGACGATAGATGTTTTACTGGGAAAGAAGGAGAAAACCACACCAGAACACCCGCCAACCATCCTCGGTCATTTAGTGTTGGAAGAAAGTATGATAGAAGAGTCAGAAACAACAGAGGGTAACGAGTAGGTCTTAATAGAAGCATTTGTTGCAGCTAGAACAGTAGCTTGTTCTTTTTATAAAGGGAGGGGGGGGATGGAAAGAAGAAGAAGAAGAAGAAGAAGAAGAAGAAGAAGAAGAAGAAGAAGAAGAGAGAGAGAGAGAGAGAGAGAGAGAGAGAGAGGGGGAGAAAGGGAGGGGTGTTTGGGTGCATACAGTTACAGCTTGTGCTGTTGCTTATATATTCTTTTTTTAAAGGAGGGGGGAGGGGAGGGGGGCGGTAGAAAGTATGCAGGGCTGTTCGTGCTTTATTCGGTTGGCCCAAAGATAAGGTTTTGGTTGAAGTTCCACGGCGTTTGCAACTGCATGAAGTCATAATACACGTATATTATTAGCGCGCTGGACAAAAATTGGTTATTTTCATGTTAGTTTATAGCATGGCCTGGTTTTAACTTGCGAGTCGAAATGGTTGAAGTATCTAAAATGTACAATAAACATTTAGTTTTTTAAAAAACCCCGCAAATTACAATTCTCAAACGAAATTTTCGTACATCTTTTCGACAGAAAAAGAGGAAAATCAAAGTGGGGCAGATGATGTATGTGTGTGTTTTTTTGTGTGTTTTTTTTGTAAAGTGTTTTACGGCGCTCGCAAGTGCATAAGGTCATATGAGCGCGCGGGATACACCTAATATTTTCAGTTGGTAGGAAAATTTTGAATTTTGCCCGGGTGGCAGCCGAAGCCTACTCCTATCGATTTTAGACCACCAAGGGATCTTTAACGTGCGCAACTTGCACACGGGCCCTCCGAGATTTTTCGCCCTTGTCCGAGAAGGCTAGGTGTAGATCTTTCCTACCAGAAGATCAGGGGTGTGGCAGAAAGACAGCAGTAAGGAGGAGCCAAGGAGTAGCAGTAGAAAGGCTGCAGAAAGAGTCAGGAGCCCAGAGGAGGGGCAAAGGAGGTGAGGGGGTGGGGGCAGAAAGAGGAAAGGAAAGCAGACAACAGAACATTGCTAGAGAGCAGGAAAGGAGGTGAAAGGAGACAATTTAAGGGAAGAAATTTTTCGATCACTACCCGGATTCGAACCCGGGACCTTTGAATGAGAGGCCAACACCTTAACCTCTAGTCCACAAGAGCCGCCGATGTATGTGTGTGTGTGGGGGGGGGGGGT